CGATTTCCCCCGACCCTTCCCCGACTCCCCCGATCTCCAGTCAGCGCCTCCACCCCCGACCCCAATCAGGACCTCCCCCTTCTTCACCTTCGTCCCCGTTATTGCCAACCACCCCCCGCATAGGCAGGCCATGCATCCGGGGAATACTACTGGGAAGTTGGTGGGCTTATCATGAGCATCGAAGCCGTTCTTCGACTTCGCGTGGTCTGCGGAATCTGACTGACCCTCTTCGCAGTCCCTTCTTTAAATAATATTTTTATCAATTTTGTATGGAGTCTAATTTTTCTTAGTCTCTCTAGATTCACTTGGGGCTCCTATCAAGATGCATTTATAAAAAAAGATCGATTGTATAATCCATTAAGAAATGTTGGTCGACCGTGTATTTGAACACGATAGGATCACTTCGACCTCGCTTTACTTAATTTGCCAGTAATTCCTTATTGATTATTATTATTATTATTATTCAAAATTCATTTGAAATTTTTGTAAATTCGCAAATACTTCATTTCTCGGCATTTCTTTTTCATAAATTTTTTTTTTTTTGAAATTTTTGAACATACGTCGAACTATTCATTCTTTCTAGGCATTTCTTCCTCGAAATTCAAAATAATAATGATAATAATAATAATAATAATTTTAATGAATTCTTTTTCGAAATCCTTGTAATTCGAAATAGTTTAGAATTAGTTAAATTATTTTTTGGCATTTCTTTTTCGAAAACATTTCTAATGAATTCTTTTTCAAAAATTTTGAAACTACTTATTTCTTCCTCGAACTTTAAAAATAATTCTAATTAATTATTATTTGGTTATATTTTAGAATTAATTCTTTTCGTTCGAGTTAGTTAATTCTTTTCCAAAAATTTTGAAAATATGTTAGAATTAATTAAATTCTTTTTCGATATTTCTTTTGGAAATTCGAAATAATTCTAATTAATTAGTTTTTCTTATTCATAAAATTGAAAATTCCTTTTTGCCATTTTTCTTGAAATTCAAAAATTCTTTTTTTTTTTTTTGCAATTCTCTTTTTTTATTCAGTACCTTTTTTTTTTTTTTTCTATGAACTCCTTAATTAATTTCGACTAAACTCGATTAATTAAGGACTGAATTAATCTCTTTTACTTGGAATTAATCACCCCTTTTTGAAATTATAAAATTTTACCCCAAATGTAAATCCGAATAAATTTCGTTGGAATTTGTTTTTCTCGGAATGATTTTTTTTCTTCATTTGGAAATTCCTGAAAATTTTGCTTCGCATTTTCTTGAAAAATACACTCGCAAATCAGTTTTGAATAAATTCAAATTAATTTACGCTCTATTCTTGTAAATAGAAATTGTGCCCCCCATCCCCACATGCCACCACGCCAAACCAAGAACTCCCAACGTGCTGCCACCGCTGCTTCGGTATCCTCCACATCCGCTCCGGCCGTGTCCTCCACCCCCTCTTCCCCCGACATGACCGCATCCTCCATCAACATGTCTGACATTCGCACGGACTGGGTCGATAGCATTGCCCGCAACCCTACAGGCGAACAACCACCAGCAAACACCGCCACCCCCGACCTCTCCACCATCCTCCACGCACTCAACACCTTCCAAACCTCGGTCACCGCCTCTCTCGACGACATAAAGGCCAACATGTCGTCCATATGCGACTGCGTCACCACGCTCGAAGGGACCATCCCCTCCATCACGGTCGTCACCACGGCTGCACCTCCCTCCTCCACGACGCAAACCACTCCCTCCTCCATAGCGCAAACCACTCCCTCCTCCACAACGCAAACCACTCCATCCTCCACAACGCAAACCACTCCCTCCTCCACATCCGCCTCCAGCAACACCCCCCCACCGACCTCCTCCACTCCTACCACCTCTACCACCACATCCACCAACCCTTCAACCTCCACCACTGTTCCGTTCCCTCCACCTCGCCCCTCATCCGGCGCATCCAGCACACTGCCTCATTCCTCGCCCATCCACGTCATCCCTCTTCCCCCCCCGCACTCCCAAACCCTCTCCCAACCCATCATGACCACCTCCACCATCCCCACCATCCGTCCCACCTATTCCCAAGTCACCTCCGGGGTTTATCCCGCAATGCCACAACTCCCCCCCAACTACCTCCTTGAGGACAACAACCAACTCGACTACACCTGCTACGACACCACCCCCGATAACCTCAGCTTCAACACCCTCACCCAGATCGTTTCCGTTCCTTCCGATCTGGCGAAATCATGTCCTTCTCCGGCCTCCCCCACGAGGACGTTTTCCTCTTCCTAACCCAGCTCCAGAACTCTTTTCACCTCCACCACATGCCCCTTGCCCACTGGCTCCCAATTGCCACCTCCGGCCTCCTTGGCAATGTCGCCAAATGGTGGATGGCTGAAGTCAGCAACCGCCGCCTTTGGAGGACCACGTCACTCCTTCCTCCAATGGGCCAAACTTCTCACTGCCACCTTCCGCCCCCAGAAAACGATTGATGACTACCTCGAACAATTCTGCCACCTCTGCCAGACCGGTCCCACGGACCGCTTCGTCCAATACATCCGCTCCCTCCGCCATCACCTCCCCACCATCGTCATTCCCGACTTTGCATTCATCTCCCGCATCAAGCGAGCATTCATCTCCCGCATCAAGCGAGTATGCCATCACGAACCCGACATGCCCCTTGCTGACCTCCTCTCTTGCATGCTTCACCACGATCGATGACTCCACCCCCATCACCAGGCCGCACCCGCTCCCTCCCGCCCCCTCTTTTTCCATAACGACACCACTCAACCCACCTCCGATGACGACTTCGACACTGCCTCTCTCGACCCCTCCCAATTCACCATTGAGGACCTCCAGACCGCCCACCTTATACGGATGGACCGCCAGGATTGTGCCTCTCGACGGCCTTCTTCCTCTCCACCCCGCCGCCTCCAGAAAATCACACCCGCAGAACGCATATACCTCCAGGAACACAACGAGTGTTTTCGATGCCGCCAGTTAGGTCATCAACAGACCAACTGCCCCAACGCTAGCCACTTTACTCGACAGGCCCCTCGCTCCATGGGACCCGGCCCTTCTACTCCCACTTCTTCCTCCACTGCGACAGCCGGGCCTCCCTCCACCTGAACACTGTCCCCCTGTCTCTCGCAATCCAACCCTAAACCCGTGTATAAACCCTGCTACAACCTCGCAACCCCGCTCTACACACACCTTTGAACCCAGTCCACCCTCCCCTTGACCTTCATTCCTGATTTCTGATCTGCCCTTGCCCTCGCCTATCCTTGTCCCATCTGTCCTCTCCACTACCTTGTCTCTCTTGTCCAATGCTTGTGAACCTGCGTGACGCCGGCGATAAAGGATCTAATGGCAAGCGCACGAGGACGATGGCCTGCTGCCTCACTGTTCATGGAGATTATGCAGCTGGTTTGGGCACCATGCTGTTTCATTGGCCGGCATCCCGACTCGCAGACTTATTGGAGCAGCAACTTGTGACATGGATCTTTGCATCAATCTGCGACTTCCTTGCTTCCAGATCAGACCTCATTGCAGTTCGTGTACCAGACAAGCACTTGGACTTTGACACTTGAACTACTACTACGCTTCTTGGACTTCTACCTATCGCAGCTGCTGAAGACCGCTTCTACCACCTACTCCAAAGACCTGATCAAGACTGCTGCAGACCCCTTTTCAAGACACTTGGACACTTTGTTCCTACATGAGATTCTGCTTCCGACTCCTTCAGACACACCAGCCTTTGCATCCTGAACAAACATTTTCATTTTTATTTTTCCGACTTTGACAACCCTGTAGAACATCATTAGCAGATCCCTGTTTCCCTAACCATTGTTTCCTGTACCCACTAGAACATTGATAGACATCCCCTGTTCCCCTGACCATTGTTTCCCTTACCCAGTAGAACTTCAATAGAAGTCCCCTGTTCCCTGAACGCTGTTCCCCGTTAACCTATAGCAAACCATGCAGTCCCCTTAAATCATCAGTAGGACTACCCTGCTCCCTACCGTCCCTATAGTTCATTTGTAGGACTACCCTGTTCCCTGCAACCCCCCTAGTTCATCAGTAGGACAACTCTGTTCACCGGTACCAAACCCTGTTCCTCTTACTCACGCAGCCCATGCCACCCACATTATACCCCTCTTCCCTTTCGACTTGTTAACCAGTGATCGGCCCCGTCCCGTCCTTCACAGATTTCAGCATTGCTTCATGATTTTTGGCAGCCGGGACGTAGCCTTCTAGAGGGAGGGGATAGTGTTACGGACTCCGCCAGGGCTCGATCCCTGGTCTATCTTTTTGCTGTTTCGGCTGCATCCCGTTTTTGGCCTGGCACCCTTTTTCCAAACCCCTCCTTTGGTACCGTAGAATTTTGGACAACTGGCGCCATGCTGCAATTCGGGCGCCACTTTCAAATACCGCATTTTTCAGTTCTGCCCTCAGGGCCTTTGCAGAAATGGCCCTAGTACTGTATGTGTCCCCGGTACTTATACCGGCTTCCCGTATGGTATGGGGACCAGTCTCGTACCAGTTTTCTGCTGCTGTACTCGTACTCAGTGTGACTTGCTGTTTCGGCATTCGGAATCCAAGACTTCGACTTTGTGCCTTGGCACTGTGTCTGCGTCCGACCCTCAGTCGTGTCGAGTGAGTGTGTGTGTGTGTGTGTGCTCTCACTCTCTCCCTCTCTCTCTCCTCTCCCTCGGCTCTCCCTCAGCCTCACGCCCGTCACAAAACCAGGGTTTTAGGAACAGGCTATTTTTGGCCTGTTCCCACGACAGCCTCAGCAGGAGCTGCAGCGCCAGGCCCTGGCTCGTTTTGGCATTGGCAAGAGCAGCCTCCTGGACTGCCCCGCCCTGCAACTGCAGGCAGGCGGAGGCAGTCCTGAGGCAGGTCGAGGTAGTACATAGGGAGTTCCCATGCACTTCAAGGGCAGGCAGAAGGCAGTGAGTAATCGCTGCAGGAGTAGCTTTAGCGCTAGCAGTAGTCTTCAGCGCTGGGCGCTGGTAGGAGTAGTGTTGGAAAGAGAGATGGCTGGCGGAGGCCAGGGAGACTTACCTTTGGCGCCATAGCTCCAACTTCACCTTCGAGGTACCTGCATCAAGGCGCCAACTTCACAGGTTAGTACCGGAGAGAGAGAGAGAGAGAGAGAGAGAGAGAGAGAGAGAGAGGGTTCTTCTTCTTCCTCTTCTAAGTCCACCATGTCTTCTTCACACTCTCGCTACCTGACTTCTCAGTATCTGCGGACTACAAGAGAGAGAGAGTTGTTACTTTGGGACTTGACGACATTGGATCCAGACTCGACATTGGGATTCAGACATTTGACGAGGGATTATTTGGGGCCTGTGTCGAAGACTTGGTGTTGATGACATTCCCATCTTCCCCTCTTCTTCGTCTAACCCCCCTCTTCTTCATCTGTGTATGGTTGGGAACTGGCGCATTCTTCCTGTGTGAGCGCCAGGCCCCTTCACACCATGGAATGATGATGATGTATGTTGGGGCTGCATTGCAACATTGATTGTTCGGATCATTGGTATCTAAGTCTTCCGCTACGCTATCTTGTACTTTGTAAGAGAGGTCGGTTCTTGTTCTGGTCTGCACCGTTACGGTATGCGACATCTAGCTGACATCCAGAGAAACGGTCAGACCGAACAGACGAACAAGATCCTGCAACAAGTTCTTAGAATGTACATTGGACCCGATGAAGTCAACTGGGATGAGATGCTTCCAAAGGTAGCAATTGCATATAACAACAGCGTGCATTTAGCAACCCGTTGCCCTCCCAACGAATTGCATAAGTCCTTTAAACTGCGTAGACTGTTTGAGGGACTGAACCGGAATCAGATCCTGAGGCTACCGCCCGGTATTAGGTAGTTTGCAATACAGCACGAGGAAGAGATTGCTACCGTCATTGAGAACCTTAGGAAAGCCCAGCATAAGATGATAGAGCAAGCCAACAAACACTGTTGCCCGTCGCAGTTCCAGGTAGGCGACCTAGTCTCGGTCAAGTCCGAAGAGTTTTGCTCCTGAGGAGAACATTTCGCAGAAACTGTTACCTGCGTATAGAGGACCGTGGCCAGTCCTAGAAGTCAAGGGCGGAGAGGATGGACCGTCCTACACGATAGAGGTTCCAGCACACGCCCACACCTACCCAGTTTTTCATGCGTCAAAAGTTGTTGCCTTGCACTACGAGTTAGCAGTTTCCATCAAGGAGGTCCATGATCCCTCTGGATATGGACGGAAGGTACGACATTGATCGCATAGTAGGTGAGGATGTATTCAGAACAGGAGGTAGAGGTCGTCCACAGAAACAATACAAAGTCAGATTTTCTTATCAAGAGCGGGAAGACGACCGCTGGTTTACCTGAACAGAGCTTCTAGAGACTGCTCCCGATATAGTCCGAGCCTATGAGAGCGATAAGAAAGGTAAAGGTCCTGCCTTGGACTGAAGTATTCTCGGAGGACCTCGAATTAAGGCCAGCAGGAGTGAAATTTTCACCTTTGCAGTAGCAGATGCAGATCCCAGGGCTCAATCCCTAGACCTGCCCCGAACCCGTGTACAGTACAGTCTGCACCATCTAGGTTTGAACCTGTGACCTGGCCCTAAAATTGTCTGTCTAAGGTTGTTGTACATACGAGGGTTGAGTAGGTTGGAGCTGCTTACCTGTAGGGTAGGAGTCGTAGCTTATGTCTGGTCGTAGCTACTGTAGGTCTGAAGGGTCAACCTTAGTCGTAGCTGCTACAGTATCGGAAGGGCAAGTAGGAAGGTCTAGAGTCTTCTAGGACTGCCCCTTCGAGAGTCGCAGAAGCAGTCCGTAGGCAAGTGGGCAAGTGGGTAGACTTACCAGGTCCAGTCAGCGGTACCCAGTCCCAGTCGCACCTTGTCCAGTCAGCAAGTACCATGTGGGACTGTGTGCACCCTAGGCCCGGTGGAAAGGAGCAGGCCAGTGACCAACTGAAGTATAAATGAAGAGGCAGCGTCCAGTTATTGATTCATTCAGACCGTGAGCCGTGCGGAAGCGCTGCCTGAGCGACTTGTGCAAGGTGGTCTGCAGGTGCCCGAGGAAGAAGTGGGCTGAGAGGGAGACGAAACGGCCATAGCCGGTAGTTAGTGGTAGAGGTAGCAAGCAGCCATAGCTGCGCTAGGTTAGAGATGGGCTACAGCACGTTTGTGTATGAGTGTGCGGTGAGTTGTGTGCGTGTGTGGGACATCCAGGGAGATCCAGAGTAGTTTGCGTGTGAACAGTTGCCGAGGATACAGCGTGGAAGGGTGTGTGAGGGCGCATAGGCGCCATAGCCATTCGAAGCAAGTTGAATCTGAACTGTGTTCTTGGCCACGATATCTCCGAGTTTTGTGTGGGTGCCTGGCGACAGTGCGTTTGCCTTCTATTTTCATGTATGCTGAATAAGGAAGAAGACGAGTCTGATTGCACAAAGTGAAACGGTATTCACCAATTCGTGGTAGCTGAGGCAGATCCCAGGGCTTGATCCCTAGTTCCCCAACTTACCTGTGTATAATATCTACGTCAACTCGAAGAGTTGAACCTGCGACCTGTAGAACCGCCAGTGGTAGGTAGATTGTCGTAGGGCACAGGATAGACTGGAATCGAACTGTAGACCTGTAGGGTAGAAGTCTAGACAGTTCCGGAGTTGTAGCTGAAGA